ACTTGGGTTCAAGAGAGCTTCCTTTCTCAGCCTCCCGAGTAGCTAGGACTACTCCATGACACCCAGCTAGTTTTTATATTTTTAGTAGGGAGGGGGTCTCACTTTTCCTCGGGCTGGTCTCAAACTCTTGAGCTCAAGCAATCCACCTGTCTCAGCCTCCCAGAGGGCTGGGACTACAGGCGTGAGCCACTGTACCAGCCTAACTTTATTCTTTTTTAAAATACATAAAAACTGGATAGGACTTTTTACCCAACTTTGATATATATTAAAAGAAGAGTGAATCCCAGTTTCTCCACTAAAAGAAGGTGAGGTGGGGCCTCTTTTTTTCTTTTCTATGAAAATTGAATAAGACTTACATTTTTCTCTCTAAGGTGGGGTAAAATTTTCTCATTTCCCCACAAAAGTTGGGTTGTTGCATGACTTAGCTTCCCCACGGATGGCCAGATTCCCCTGGCCCATCTGCAAGTGGAGGGAACCAGCTAATTTCTAAAAGGTTCAAGCAAGAGCTGAAAAAGATCAGGTGGGTGAGTTACCCACATCCAGGCTGCCTCCTGGGTTCATCATCACCTGCCTCTCTCTTCCAGGCCATGGGTCCCAGTCCAGTCATCTCTCCAGGAGTGGGCCCCAAAACTGTTCGGTCAGCCACACAGGTGTGATCAGAGTTGATGGCCTACCCTGTACAGGGTGTTTTGGAGCAGAACTTCCTGTTTTGCCTCGGCAGCAGGCGGGGTCTACTGTGACTGAGGGTTGGTCCCTGAAGGTGGGACTTCCTGCCTCACTGTCTCACTGCAGAAGGCTTTACCTATATTTGTGCAACTAAGGAAATTTGACTCATGGGCAAAGAAAGACTCCTGCTGATCTAACAGTGCAGTTTGCACAACCTTGGAGGCTTGTTGGCAAACAGATGGGGCTTGCTATGTGGCTATGAGTGAGAGGGACCATGGCCACACTCTCTGAAAAGGTCTTCACATTCTCTTTGCCTCTTCTAGGCTGTGTCCCAGCTTCTTCTTAAAACAGATCAGATCACATCCCTTTTCTCTTCAAACCCTTTTGTGGCAGTGCATTGCCCTTCAGCTATTATCCAAATTCCTCATTGTGACCTTCAAAGCCTTGTGGTTTGTCTTCTGTCAGCCTTCCAGAGCCCCCTTCCACAAGATTGTCCCTGCTTCCTGACATCAGTAAAACAGGCATTTATTTTGCCTCCAGGCTTTTGCTCCTTGTGTTTTCTCTGCTCAGAACATTTCTTTTTCCTTGGTGTTCATTTCTTAGAAGACTATTTCCTTACCCTTGTCATGGTCATAGGTTAAGTCCCAGAGTCCCTGAACTTGTAATTATGCATAAATATATAATTATTTATGTAGTCCCAGACTTCCTGTAAACTGAGAGCAGCATAAAGGCAGAGACCAAGTCTTAGCACTTGCCACAGAGCCTGGCACACAGCAGGCAATCAATATATGTTTGTTGACTACTCAAATGTTTTGGTGCCAGTGAAAGGTTGGGTTTGCTGCTGCTCTCCCTAGCATAAGTCTTTCTTTTTCAGCTGAGTTTCTCACTGAGAATTTAGGGACTGCATTAGTGAAGATTCCTTGGGCTGTAAGTAACGAAATGGTGTCTAAAAATATGGAGGTGGGTGGCTTCAGGTTGGCTCAGCAACTCAGTGACCCTATCAAGGACCTGGGCCCTTTTCATCCTTCTGCTTTGCCACCATCAGTGGATGGCAGGTTGTCTCCTTGTGTGTTACCTCGTGTAGCAAGATGGCTGCTGCATCTCCAGTCATCACATATTCATATAACTGTATCCAAAGATAAAAGGAATGGGGCAGGGCTCCTTTCCCCAACATGTCTCCCTCCCTGTTTTCCTCCCTCATGTGGGAGGTGGATAGGAGGAAATTTCTCTGGAAGCCTATTGGAAAACTTCCTTTTATGTCTTTTTGGCTAAAACTGGCCACCGAGTTGTAAAGGAGGCTGGAAACCAAATATTTCAGCCTGTATCATGGCAAGTGGGTCTGCCAGCAAAGAAGCAAGAAGAAGCAAAGAGCTAAAGGGTAGGCAACCAGTGTCTATATCAAGGAAGGAAAGGATGTGAAGAATTCTGGTTGGGGTAGAAAGTCCATTGCAAAACAGATCCTGTATCTTTTTGGGAAGGTGAGGGCTGGAGTCTTAGATGCCTGATCTTATATGTTTTCATTTCCTTTTTGTTCATTAAAGACAGAAAACTTAATGCAAATTGGCTTAAGTATACAGAGGACCCTGTTGCTTATGTATGTGGACATGGTCATCAGGTAAATTTTCATCCAGCTTCTCAGATGATGTCATCATGGGCTCTATTTCTCTAGACCAGCAGTTCCCAACCTGTGGGTTGCAACTGTATTAAAGGGGCGTGGCATTAGGAAGGTTGAGAACAACTGCTCTAGATCTTCCACTCTGCATTATATAGTATTTCTATCATCCTCAGGCTCCACATGTTGTCTTCTCCACCACCTAAGATCTTTCTGTGAGATGGAGAAGAGCAACACTGCAGATCTAGACCTCACATCATTGGAAGAGTTATCTCTTCTTGTGAATCCATGCACTGTCCCATTACCCTGGCTGGGTCACATGCCCATCTCTGAACTGATCATGGTGGAATGTGAGCTATGCCAGGTGGCTTAAGCCAAATGGGGACCACCTCTGAAACAAGTCAATTCCAAATCTACCAGAGACAGCAGGGGGTAGGAATGATCCCCACAAATGACCCTTTACCCTTTGGTTACCCAAATCTCTAAAGACACTGACAGCTGCAGGCAGAGACTTTGGAAAAAGGCGTTTATTGGTGTGGTGGTCTCAACACTCCCCATGAATTGGAACACACGGCCCCCAGGGCCCTCCACCCCCTCCCTAGGATCCCGCCCCCACCCCACCCTGTCCCCTGGACCCTGGGAATGGAAGACAATGTGGGATGGGGCCCATGCCCCCGTCTGAGGTACAGTCACTGCCCCTTGCCCTCTGCCCTCTTCTCCACCAAGCTCTGGGTGGTGTGATTTGGGGTGGGTGTTAAAATAGAGGGTCTCCTGGGAGTTGGAGCTGGTGACATGACATCTTTGCCTGGGCTGAGGATGTCTGTGTGATGCTTCTGCATCCCCACTTTTGTGTGGTGTACCAGGGTGGAGCATTCCTACAATTAGCTGAGGCTGCAGCCTCTCAGCACCCTTCCTGACAACAGCCCATCCTTGGGGGAGCTACAGCTAGTCACCAGCTACAGGACAGCTGGAGCCAGGGAACTATTGCTGGTCATGGTCGCTGGTGTGTGTGTGTGTGTGTGTGTGTGTGTGTGTCTGAGTGTGAGGGTGGTCAGGCAGCCTTTGGGAGGTACAGCTGGCAGAGCAGCTAGGGAGTGGTGGACCAGCAAGTCCACGCTTGTGGGCCAGGTGCAAGGGCCCTGAGGAGGGCAGCTGGCTGATGCCACAGGTGGCTCAGGGGAGTGTCAGCGGGGGTAGGGCAAAGCACTGAGACAGGTGACTACTGCCACCAGCCTGACAGTTGGATGGAAGCACCGATTGGCCCCAGGAGAGGGCCAGAAAGTTCAGGGTGGGGAGGGAGACAGAAAGTGGGAAGGTCTTAGGCCACTGAGCCAGCGATGGGTCCTCTGGCTACAGGCAGCTGGTAGGTGACAGCAGGGAGGCCCAGAGCCCAGTTGGTGATCCCCTTCCAATTCACAAAGGCTGAATGATAGCTTGGCAGGTGAGTGTTATACCCTTCCCCACTCCCAACCTGCCCAGAAGATGCCCTTTTGGGGGGGGGGGGAAGAAGTGTGTGTGCTGGGAAAGCAAGGGGCCTGGCAAACCTCTTCACAGCTTCCAGGGTGGAGCCCCCATACCTACCTCCAGCCACAGGGGAGAGGCAGCCCTGGTGGGGACTGTGTACATGGGAGTGTTGGGGAAGAGAGGATAGCTGAGTCCCCCTTCCCCAGCCCACCTACCAATCCCCCCCCACTCACACACATGCAGGCACGCGCACGTGCGCACACACACTCTCTCTCACAAATACACCCACACCCACATCCACGCACGACGAGCCAGTTGACAGCCTGAGCTAAGAGAGGGGTATGGGGTGGCAGGGTTGGGTCACAACTGGAAACGTGAACGAGTGGCGAAAATGGCTGTAGAAAGATGCATAATTTTGCGTTATCCCTCACAGTGATGGGTTCTCTAAAGATCTTTCTTCTTTCTCCTCCTCCTCTTCCTTGGTGGGTGGCCAAGAGCTCTTCCGCCCCCTTGAGACCCATGGCTCTTGCTCCCCTGTCTTCTCGCTCTTGGCCCGAGGCCCCCTGTGGGGACAGCAAGCTCCACTGGGTTGCACCTACATTCTCCACCACAGCCAGCCCAGGGCAGAGAGGAGGATCAGGGGCCCCGGGGGCCTTGGGGCTGAGTTCTCCAGGGATCCTGGGCCTGGGGGGAGAGAAAGGGTTACAAGGTCTCTCAGGGGTGGGGAGAGACCCCTTGTGTGTGTCTCTCCCAGATGCCCCAGCCTCTTTGGCTCTACTTTTTTTTTGAGACAGAGTCTCAAGCTTTCACCCTGGGTAGAGTGCTGTGGTGTCACAGTTCACAGCAACCTCAAACTCTTGGCTTAAGTGACAAAAAATAGCCAGGTGTGGCTGGCATCTGTGGCTCAAAGGAGTAGGGCACCAGCCCTACTCTGGCCTTAGCCTTCCAAGTAGTTGGGATTACAGGTGCCCACCACAATGCCCGGCTATGGGTTTTTTTTTTTATTGTAGTTATCATTGTTGTTTGGCAAGCCTGGGTTGGATTCGAACTTGCCAGCTCCAGTGTATGTGGCTGGCACCCTAGCTGCTGAGCTACAAGCGCGAGCCTGAGTCTATTTCTTTAGGGGTCTTTCTGGTCTCTCCCTGTGCCTGCTCTGCTGACTCTGAGCTTCCCCTTAGGTTTTCTCCCCTTCTTCCTCACAGTCTTAGCATCATCTTACTGTCTCGCAGCTTTTGTTTAACTGGCTCTTCTACTGGACTCTCCAAACTTTCCTCCCTGACATTGGCTACAGGGCGCCCTCTCTGTTGTCATTACTTAATACTACATCTCCATGCATCCAGCTCTCAAGCCCGAACCTCACAATCACCTTGGACTCGACTTCCCTCTTTCCTCACCCTTCTACATTGGTCCAGTGACTTAACCTTCTGGGTTCCACCTCCAAAACATCTCCCAGTACAGACTTTATGCTCTCCACCGTCCCTCCTGGCCTCCCTGCCTCCATCCTGCCCTTGCTCATCCCTCAAACAGCAAAGTGGTTCTTTTTAGGAGCATCAAAAACATGTCACTCCCCTGCTTAATAAATTCCAGCAGTCTCACCCCTCAATAGAATAAACTCCAAACTTGTGTCCTATGAGACTCTGGCCTCTGCTTTCCTCTTTAACCTTGAATTCCACTTGACTGCTCTGCTCCAGGCATGCTGCCTCCTGGCTGCCCTTTGCAGCACACAGTATTCAGTCTGCCTGCAAAGCTCTGCCAGAAGATCTAGGCAGGGCTGACTTTTTACCGTTCAGGTCTCAGTTTATTTATTTATTTAATTTTATTTTATTAGAGACAGAGTCTTACTGTGTTGCTCTCGGTAGAGTGCTATGGCATCACAGCTCACAGCAACCTCCAGCTCTTGGGCTTAGGCGATTCTCTGGCCTTAGCTTCCAGAGTAGCTGGGACTACAGGTGCCCACCACAACGCCTGGCTATTTATTGTTGTTGTTGTTGTTGCAGTTTTGGGCCAGGGGCTGGGTTTGAACCTACCACCTCTGGCATATGGGGCTGGCACCCTACTCCTTTCAGTCACAGGTACTGCCACACCTGGCTATTTTTTGTTGCAGTTTGGCTTGAGCCAGGTTCCAACTCGCCACCCTCGGTATATGGGGCTGGCACCCTACTTACTGAGCCACAGGCGCTGCCCTTAATATTATATTTATTTATTTTGAGACGGAGTCTCACTGTGTTGCCCTTGGTAGGGTGCCATAAGGTCACAGCTCACAGCAACCTCTAACTCCTGGGCTTGAGCAATCTCTTGCATCAGCCTCCCAAGTAGCTGGGACTACAGATGCCTGCCACAATGCTCAGCTATTTTTTGGTTGTAATTGTTATTGTTGTGTGGCAGGCCTGGGCTGGATTCGAACCTGCCAGCTCCAGTGTATGTGGCTGGCGCCCTACCCGCTGAACTACCGGCGCCGAGCCACTTTTTTTTTTTTTCTTCCCTGAGACAGAGTCTCACTGTGTTGGCTGGAGTGCCATGGCCTCAGCCTAGCTCACAGCAACCTCAAACTCATGGGCTTAAGTGATCCTCCTGCCTCAGCCTCCTGAGACAGGAGACTATTGGTGCCTGACACAGCACCTGGCTAGTTTTTCTATTTTTACTAGAGACAGGGTCTCGCTTTTGTTCAGGCTGGTCTTGAACTCCTCAGCTCAAGAGATCCTCCAGCCTCATCCTCCCAGAGTGGTAGGATTATAAGTGTGAGCCACCGCTCCCGGTCCCTGGTTAGCTTATCAGCCACCCCGATCCTGTCTACTATCTATCTTCTCCTTAGCCCTTACCGATGCGCAAAATTATTTTTTGTTCATGTATGTGTTTGCTTAGTTATCTACGTGTCCACTTGTTTATCGCTTTTCTACTACTCGACCATAATAAGCTCGGCCATTTCTCAAACCTTGTTTCTTTTGTGCACTGTTTGTGTGACCTTGGTCCAACGCCCATAGCTTAACCGGCTCTCAGTCGTCTTGCTCGTGGAGTCTTCGCGTGAGTCCCCTACGTAAACTCCCGGTCAGTCTAAGGGGTCGCCCCCCGCGTCCCCGCCTCCCTAAGCCCCGCCCCCGTTCCGGCGCCCAGACGTACGCAAGAGCCGCATGGAGGCGCTGGACGCTCCGAGCCGGTTGGCGGCGCGACACGTGTAGTTGCCATAATGCCGGGCGCTCACATTGGCGAACAGAAGCATTGAGCGGGTGCGCTCCGTCTGCACCTTCAAGCCCTCGGCCGCGCCGCCGCTCAGCCTGCAGGGGACCTGGGTCAGGGACTGAGCCGCAGAATCCGGGCCCAGGAGCCCCTCGGGATGTGAAGCCCAATCTGCCTTCTCTCAGACTACTGCACTCCCCGGAGACCCCGCATTCTGCCCGCCACCCCAGTGACCCCTCGCCTCGGCTTCTAGTTCCTCGTGGATCTGGGTCACTCCAGCCGCCGCCTCTCTCCAGGCACACTGACCCCTCGGGGACACTGAACTCTTCCGGGGTGCTCCCTTAATCCCTAGGAGCTCCCAAACCTTGCTGGGCCCCAGCCACAGTGGCCTCCTAAACCTTGCCCGTCAGCTCCTTATATTAGACCCCTGAACCAGGAGACCTCCCTGAATAGTCTGGACCGGGCTCCGACATTCATTGTCTTGGGACTCAAGTTTGGCTCCCTGGGGCTCGACAGATCCTAGAGGCTGGATACCCCGGCTTTCGGAACCCAGGGCTTACTCCCTTCCGCCAGGGTTACCCCGCCCCTCAATCCAAGGGACAAAGAGACCTCCCCCGGCCCCTCCCACGGCCTGTCCAGGTGCTGTCCTCACAGTCTGTCATCCTTGTACCACTGGAAATCTGCCGGAGGCACTGCCATGGCTTCGCAGCGCAGGAGGGCGGCTCGGCCGAGGCCAGTGCGGGCGCTGGTCACGTCGGTGATGGTCGGAGGATCTGGCGAGGGTCAGCGAATTCTCAAGCCACGTGGGGACTACGGGGCCCTCCCCAGTCCCTCTTCCTAAGACTTGGGAGTCCCGCCCTGGCTTTCTCTTCCTTCAAGACCCCTCCTCCTTAAGGACCCAGGGTCTGCCGCCCTTTCGTGCTTGGGGGTGCTCACAGTTGACTGTGACCAGCACACGGCGGCTGTCGGGCGCTGAATTAACTCCGTTGTGAGTAACACACTCATATTCCCCGGCCTGGCCCCTCTGGATGTCGGAAATCTCAAGGATCTCGCCCTCGGAGGTGAAGCCGTCTGTGCAGGGAGGGAGGAGGAGGGGGCGGGGCCAGACACAAACACTTAACACGGGACAACACGGGTACAACACGGACACACATCAGCGGGGCGGGCACAGCAGGGCCAGGAGTGCCCCGGGTCAGTCGATAGGATTGTAGGGAGGTGCGGGGCCTAGGATCTCTCCAGCTAAGGGT